GAATGAGAGACTTAAAGGATATATTTAGTATATAGTCGATTTATCATGAAGTATGCAGTCCTGGCTGGCTAGTAGTTGAGAGGGATGCGTAGCAGGACGTAAGTGATCCAGTATGGATACGATACTGAGAACCTTTAGCTGTGGCGTGTTCGAGAAAACTTTTTAGGTAAACGTCAATGCCGAAGACTTGCAGATCTATTTGTTTTAAGAATTCATTCACTTCTACAAGTGTGTGTAGTGAGGAAGCTGTACATCAGTCAAGTGAGTTTGAAAATAGTCACTTGGTTGAGAAAAGAGTATTCGGCGGCCAAGTACTGTGAACTGATCTAGATAGACAGTTGCGTAACCTCCTTATAATCTTACAGAGATAAATAGAAAAACGTGCACCCAGAAATAAAGAGGAGCAGACAAGTTACGATTTCTTTTACTCTCAGCAAGTTCTGGCATCTGATGTTATCCAATTCCTCCTCATCAGTTGGTCCTGTATTTGGAGTTGAATCTCGGTTGACGGTGATCACCACTCGAGGAAGATTACGTAACATATATCCAGTTGGATTTCTCCATAGGTCAAAAAGCAGAAGACAATTGACGGGTGCAATAAGATTTATTTCTTGGCGACCTCGTAGTATCCAAAGAATACCGGGATCGTGTCAAAGTTTACAAGCTGAACTACTGAGCGTACTCGAGTTCGTGCAGGGTCACAGACAAAGGAAGGAATAGTGTATTTGGCACACCTAAACAAAAGGGTGCATCAAAACAATCACTGGTATAATTGGTCATAATAATAATTGTTGCGATTACAACAATCGCGCGATAACGAAAGCCCTGAGTTCGAATACCAAGAGGGGGCGCTGCCAAGGAGTCCCGCAATAGAACGAAACGGTCGTCCAGTGCATCCAGGTTTTCAATGGTAGTCAAACTTCAATCGCTTCATGGTCACAATCTCCAGAACCCCATGATGAAAACTTGGAAGAATTGAACGGCCGCTTGGTCCTAGTGAAGGACTGTTTATCAGTGCAAAACCACGACTCCGTACGCAAACATCTATGCTAAATATGACTGATAATAATTTAAAACCAAGAATATCAACAAAGAGATTATTCAAACTAATAAAAATCAATTTTTTTTCGTCCAGTTTTATTACTCCTACTTTCGAACAACACACTTAGGATGTTACATCAAATAATGGCGAACTGCCATCACAATTGGTTACCTCAAGTGGTGTTCGTCAGGGCTGTCCACTCTCCCCATTCTTGTTTAACTTTGTCGTTGACATGCTTTTAGAAATAACACTTTCATCATCTCAATCTCCTGGAGTTGAACTTTTACCGGGAGATTCACTTGTTGACTTAGAACACGCCGACGACATAGTTTTATTCGGTGAACACGCTGACAAAATGCACAGTCTTCTGACCACTATAAGCAACTATGCAGGCATGTTCGGGATGCGATTCTCCCCATCGAAGTGCAAAATGTTACTTCAGGATTGGGTTTCATCGACACCTGAACTAGTGAAGTAGTTGAGCGTGTTGACCACTTCACTTATCTTGGGAGTCTCATCAGCCCTTATGGTTTGGTGTGCGACGAAATCTCAGCACGGATACAGAAGGCTCGTCTAGCTTTCGCCAACTCGCGTCATTTATGGCGTAGGCGAGATATCCATCTACCAATCAAAAGACGGGTTTACTGTGCAGCAGTTCGTTCCGTCCTACTTTATGTCTGTGAAACATGAACGATAAGAGTAGAGGATATTCGTAGGCTGCTAATATTCGATCATAGGTGTCTTCGAAGCATTGCTCGTATATCCTGGGACCACCGAGTAAGTAATGCAGATGTTAGGAAACGAGTACTAGGTGAAAATGGCAAATCGATTGATGAAGTACAGAAACTTCATCAGTTGAGATGGCTGGGACATGTGTTACGTATGCCCAACCACCGACTGCCCCGACGTGCAATGCTTTATGGTGTAGGAGTAGGTTGGAAGAAAGCTAGGGGCGGTCAGACCAAAACATGGCATAAATCCATGAAGTCACTAACAAGTGGACTGGACCGTGTTGGTGGGTGTAGACTACCTGGTTGGGATTCGCTAGATGATAGCAACCGATGGTCAGAGACCTTGAATGACATGGCTCAAAATCGTTTGCAATGGCGGAGGTGCATACACTCTTTGTGTTCTACCAAATTCTAAACTTCTGAATTCTTCATGTCCGTATCCTTTTTCTCTTTCCAAATTTATTTCACTGGATTATACTCCTTCAATAACATCTTCAAACCCTTATCTTTCACATAATACTTATACTCTTACTACTTCTACCAATATGGGATTTGAATCGACTTCATCTCTGTGCTAATGTGGTATGGCAACTCGAACTGATGTACGTACGTACGAAGTTCAACGTTGTGACTGATTGAGGCAACACATCACAATGTTATGATCACTAACTGGAAACGTTTTTCCAATATACACAATATTGGGGGTGAGGCCACTGGTAAAGACTAAGTCCAAGAGATTTTGATATCTGGTAGGGCTACTGACATACTGAGTCCACTGTCCTAGTTTCAGACATTCAATAAATGATTAATAACGTTTTGGCGTCTTGACTGGAAACCAAGAAATTTCATGCATGTTGAAGCCACCACGAATGAGCTTACCTGTGAATAGGAGGGATGATGCGAGCATGAATGCCTCTAATAATACTGCTATTTCACCTATAGTTGCGTTAGGTTGACGGTAGGCACAGCCAAACAGTAAGGTAATGGAATTCGATGGCTTTTTAAACAATCCACATCAAATCCTTCAGTCACATAATAGTGCTTTGGAAAAAGACAGTATTTTGTTACATACTGTGAAACATTTTCGTCTAATCGGTAGTAAAAGCTTGTCCACTAAAAAGCAGGACAGCCCGCAAACACGTTAATTGAACGGTGTGAGGTGGTTCACATGCTGGCTTGAAGTATTCTGGTTTCTAAGTCCTAACAATTTAGCGGTTCTATAAACTAGTTGACAATTTGCATTTTCATTCTTGAATTATTTTATGGTTACGATCGGCTATTTCCATGTAATGAGAACAATCGACACTTTTCACCTATATCATCGTCATACGAGATAATCTTCCTGCAGTAATTTGGCAAACAACAACAATTTCAAATCAAACTAATCAGCCGCTCGTAAAAATAGATTCGACAGATAATTCAAATAAATTCGTCATTGCACCTTCATAAGAATACTTGCTTCATGGAGTTCCACAGGCCAGCCGAACTACTAGCTCTATCATTTATGTCTGTTTATCGAAAAAACTTTGAAATTAGCAAGCCTGGTACTAGCATAGCAACTAATGGTAATAACAGTAAAAATACAATTGTCTTCACTAAAGACTCTGTCACTATTGGGTTTCTGAATTATTCTGAGAATCACACCGACAAACAAGGCGTCAAACAGCACATACGTATGACAGTATATTACTAAGACGGATATGGCTCGATCACATCGTGTTAGAAGACTTTAAAATTAACGAACGTTTGTACCAAGATTAGATTCTGGATGATATTTCCCAAGAGACCATCTCTACGGTAGTGCTGCTGCCCAGCAAGTCAGTGCAGCCAGGTTTTGGTCAGGGCTAGAATGTGGAATCTATGATTGAAAAAAAACTTTAAATTCTGGACCGAAAATTATAAGCTGCAAATACTGACTCTGAAACGAAACCATAAATCGTTATTCCTACATCCTAAACCTAAATAATAAGCGTAAATCCTAATAATTACATAATAAGTCGTTCATCCATATTTGCTGCATTGTGGTCACCTACAGATTCGCTAAAGCTCACCCTTTTATTTCAGCTCTACTCGTTTAAGAAACTGAACACCAACTATGTGCAAACGCTTAGTTGCTTATTCTCATTGGTTTCAACAAATATCAGGGTATTACGTTAAATTCACGGAAACGCGCAGAAGCAACTTACAAGACATGTTAAAATACAGAATACTCGCCTGCATTTCCGCGTCGGAAGGTTGTGGAAAAGGAAGGTAATTTAAACCACGTCATCTGATGTTCGAAACGAACAATATTGGAGAGTATGGTAAATTATATGGATATTTATCACTGAACTCGTCTGAAATAAATCAATACAATACAAAGAAAAACGTCTTCCTAATGTCAGTAGACTATTCATTGAGAAATCTATTAACATACTTAACTTCCACACGTCAAAGCCTCAAGACTAATTTTTGGGTTTTACCATAAAATATAATTGATCTTCTCCTATGAATTTCCCGCCATTTCGTCCTATATACAATAAATAGTAAATGACAGTTATTCAATGACCTAATTCTTAGCTTTCAATATCGATTCTGAGAACATTTCAAACACTTAGACAACTGCTTCTCCTTCGAACATAATACCATCTCATGTTATTAGTTTATTCCCTCTCTGTGATCCCCATCACTGTCATTCTTTGAACATAACTTACTACCGGCTCTTATAACGGCGAAACCGAACTAGTGAATTTCATTCCATTAATTTATTTGACCTTTTCATAACGAGATTATAAGCGGTAAATAACTGGGGTTCACTTCAGTTTAAACACAATTTCTACGTATACAACAAACGACAAGAAGTATGATAAACATTTATGGAGAAGCCTACATTCCATAACTCAGTATCGGAATCCTTCCCAGTCATACTAACGATTGATATATAGTACCAAAGACTAACTGTTTGTTTTGCAAAATTTCTCTGAGTGATATCAGCTGTAAGTCAGGCTTACAAAACCACTTTTGAATCGCATTACTAGTAGATTTCTTTTTCGACATAGTAGTATTGATTTTTAGCTAGAAAAACAAAACCTAAGATAAAAAAAAAGTCACATAAAAGATTCATTTACAACAATATATCTGATACAAAATTGAAAGATTAAGTATCTCCTGTGAAAAATATGTTTGATAATAAGACAATTCATTTACAATATGCAAATGACTTAAGCATAAAGTATAATTTAGAGTACTGTTCCTGATTTGCTATATTGTTCATAATCAAAGACCTCATTCTGTTGTTCATCAAAATATAAACCGATATAGTCCAACTCCAAACTAAATGGCCCCTCAATATCATCCATTATAGTAAATGAAAGAAGGCGCATACGTCCTAGATCCACAGGAAATTGTCTATAATGCATAATACTTGAACTCGTATGATAAAATTTGGATAATGGGATTTTAGCTATTTGCCAATATGGTCCACCTCGAGTGTACAAAGTAAACTGATGTGTATTGAAACGGTAAAAATCCCATTCTGCACGAGGTAGCACAACAATTTGGTATTTTCGACCATCTCCACGATATCTAAAATGGAATGTTTGAAAAAGCTGCAAGGTATTCTAATTTAAAATGTATGAAAAGAAGAAAAAATCCAATGTAATGATGATAATATAAGAATCAAGAAACTATCCCATTCGTGAAAACATTGCTAGTTTTCTATGTAATTAAACAACTGACCGATCAACAGTACTTTAACACCTGTCAGTCTACTTAACATAATCTTGATACTTCTTGTACCTACTTGATTTTCAGTCAATGAACATAATGTTAAGCCTAAGTGTTACTTATAATTCGTTTATCATAACTTTTACTACTGTTGAATACATGAGTTTTGTATAGTACTTTTGTTATTGTTAAGTGACAGTTCCTTTCTTCATCTTTTACTGAGTACAAACGTTTACGTAGACAATACTACAGTTAAAATATCTAAGGAAGAGACTATAATTTATGGACGGACCAATTGGATTTAACAAAACAGATCTTAGATTTCGGTGTAAAATCCATCCATCCATTTGGTTAAATAACATTTCAGCATTATAGCTTAAAACCTCAAGTCTAATTCCTAATCCCAACGTCCAACTGTAAATTCTAGTCCTAATACCCTCACATCAATCCACATCTAATCCTATTAAGTGGACATTCCCAAGGTCATTGTAGTGTCCATCAAAGGTCATTCACAAACTATAGTCTCATCAATAATCCTATTCACAACTACTTATACCATTGAAAAAACTGTACACAAATTAACATACTTTTAATTATATTCATTTTACGACAGAATTTGTTTAAGTACAAATACATAGACATAATACACGTCATACTATATATGTGATCGCATTGTAATATTCACAAACAGTTACATAACTTCTGGTAAATTTACGCCTTAGTATTATTTATAAAAACTCGAAATAATATTCATATAAAAAACAACTTATTGATTTGGCCGAAAACAAGAAGAGACTTCGAAGAATTTACTATACAAACACGATTCATCTAAGATATTAGTAAATAAAATAAAAAAATTACTTATTTTTATTTGACTTATAATCTCTCTCTCTCTCTCTCTCTCTCTCTCTATATATATATATATATATATATATATATATATATTTGTACTACCGATCAAAACACCTATCGATGTTAAGCTTTCAATGGTGACCTAACATTGATCGAGTCATGTTTTCAATCAAAAACTCAACAATCCCCATCAACCCGTACTGATAATAATATTTTTATGTTCTACAGTTAGATACGTAAATTCATAATCCAAAAATGAATAATTTTAAGGCAATTACATCGTTTAAGACTACAGAATGTAAATTTAGGATTATTTTTAAATCAAATATAATTAGCACAGAAGAATTCGGAAAGATTGTGAAACATTCATGGTTTAAATTAAGAACTAATCTTAGCATGACCACCACTGAAAACTTGGAAGAATCCGTGACCAGTGGAGCTAATCTATGTTAGGAAGAGACAGGTATTTAGCTCAGTACAATGGAAGATGGTCACCCAATTTCGTGGATTGGTTGAGATTAGACATTCACAACGTTGGATGCCAGCACAGTGATCTAGAGGTTAGGCGTTCGCGCGCGATAACGAAAGCCCTGGGTTCGAATCCCAAGAGGGGGCGCTGCCAAGGAGTCCCGCAATAGGACGAAACGGCCGTCCAGTGCATCCAGGTTTTCAATGGTAGTCAAACTTCAATCGATTCATGGTCACAATCTCCAGAACCCCATGATGAAAACTTGGAAGAATTGAACGGCCACTTGGTCCTAGTGAAGGACTGTTTATCAGTGCAAAACCACGACTCCGTACGCAATTATCTATGCTAAATATGACTGATAATAATTTAAAACCAAGAATATCAACAAAGAGATTATTCAAACTAATAAAAATCAATTTTTTTTCGTCCAGTTTTATTACTCCTACTTTCGAACAACACACTTAGGATGTTACATCAAATAATGGCGAACTGCCATCACAATTGGTTACCTCAAGTGGTGTTCGTCAGGGCTGTCCACTCTCCCCATTCTTGTTTAACTTTGTCGTTGACATGCTTTTAGAAATAACACTTTCATCATCTCAATCTCCTGGAGTTGAACTTTTACCGGGAGATTCACTTGTTGACTTAGAACACGCCGACGACATAGTTTTATTCGGTGAACACGCTGACAAAATGCACAGTCTTCTGACCACTATAAGCAACTATGCAGGCATGTTCGGGATGCGATTCTCCCCATCGAAGTGCAAAATGTTACTTCAGGATTGGGTTTCATCGACACCTGAACTAGTGAAGTAGTTGAGCGTGTTGACCACTTCACTTATCTTGGGAGTCTCATCAGCCCTTATGGTTTGGTGTGCGACGAAATCTCAGCACGGATACAGAAGGCTCGTCTAGCTTTCGCCAACTCGCGTCATTTATGGCGTAGGCGAGATATCCATCTACCAATCAAAGGACGGGTTTACTGTGCAGCAGTTCGTTCCGTCCTACTTTATGTCTGTGAAACATGAACGATAAGAGTAGAGGATATTCGTAGGCTGCTAATATTCGATCATAGGTGTCTTCGAAGCATTGCTCGTATATCCTGGGACCACCGAGTAAGTAATGCAGATGTTAGGAAACGAGTACTAGGTGAAAATGGCAAATCGATTGATGAAGTACAGAAACTTCATCAGTTGAGATGGCTGGGACATGTGTTACGTATGCCCAACCACCGACTGCCCCGACGTGCAATGCTTTATGGTGTAGGAGTAGGTTGGAAGAAAGCTAGGGGCGGTCAGACCAAAACATGGCATAAATCCATGAAGTCACTAACAAGTGGACTGGACCGTGTTGGTGGGTGTAGACTACCTGGTTGGGATTCGCTAGATGATAGCAACCGATGGTCAGAGACCTTGAATGACATGGCTCAAAATCGTTTGCAATGGCGGAGGTGCATACACTCTTTGTGTTCTACCAAATTCTAAACTTCTGAATTCTTCATGTCCGTATCCTTTTTCTCTTTCCAAATTTATTTCACTGGATTATACTCCTTCAATAACATCTTCAAACCCTTATCTTTCACATAATACTTATACTCTTACTACTTCTACCAATATGGGATTTGAATCGACTTCATCTCTGTGCTAATGTGGTATGGCAACTCGAACTGATGTACGTACGTACGAAGTTCTACGTTGTAACTGACTGACTGACTGACATCAAATAATGATTTTCGTAATTGAATTCTCCATATCAATGTGGTAACAATGGTCCCATCCCGTTTCCTTCCCGGTCAATTCATCAATAAAGATTTTATAGACAATTATGAATTTTTTATGGCTATGTGATAGATTCAGAAAACCACTGATATGAACAAATTCCTACTCAAACAAATCTCCTTATATAGCTATATTTCTGAACAATATTAAGATCGGGAAGCTGTTAATAAGCCTCGAAAACCAATGAACTTTGTAACACTTTTGATTTCTACGGACTTCCTGTTGAATGACTGAAAAGGGACTTAGAAAGAAATCAAATGCTCATTTCCAGGAAATCTGAAGTTCGGCTATGTACTATGCATTAACCGTTTGGTTTAATTTATAGGTGGTTTCTTTATAATGAATTAACAAAAATTGAGGTATCATAAAAAAAATGAAATGAAAAGCTATCTTCAGTCCTACCACAAAACTTTTTAACTGTATAGAGTATGGCTCCCTTGGTTTTTGTTGATAACCCATCTTACGTCACAATTTGTGACAAAAACTGTTTGGATTATTCTGTTATATTACTTGACATGCATACATGCTGAAATATATATGAACACCTACCTGATAATTAAATGTGAGTAAGCTTCACAACCATATGGCATAACACATCCAAATAATTTACTTTCTGGACTGCGGAGATTTGCAAAACCTGCATGAACTAGATCGCCTCGTTTAGGCACACGTGTACTAATGAAACCTCGAAAATGACCGTAGCCTTTAAACTTTGGATCAGACGATGTCATAACAATAGCTGCCGAACTTGCCTGTTTACCACCAGGTCGATATAAGAATTTTGGACTGAAAGTAAATGGTATTACCAATATATATATATATATATATATATATATATATATATATATATTAGAATTAGTCTTCTTTTACTAAATTTTCTGTGTTCTATGATTAAAAACAGTAATTTTAATTTTCAGTAATAAGCAAAACAGAATCGAAAAATATAATCATTAAACTATAAGACTTTTGTAATACAACATGAATCGTTGTTGTATTTGGTGTATATATTTAGGACACTTGTAGATAATTTGGGCAAATTGGTTCGTAGAATCAATTAAACCTATCAATTGAAATTTATCAATAAGTCATATTCATAATTCAAAAGAAAATGTTCCATACGATAGCTTAAAGATTTCACTAATTTAAAGAAGTGTACGAGATCCTAGAGTCTTAGCCAAGAAAGCCTGCTGACTGATTTGAAATAGGGTACGTACGTTGAAGCTTCCAATGTGTAGTTAAGAGCGAGGTTTCAGTAGACCTGTGACAGTATTTCACGCACTAGAATCATTGGCCATGATGACACTTGAGGAGGAATTCCAAGAAGGAAGTTTCAAGTTGATAGTCGAGGCAGAAGGAATAATAGGAATTGAAGAGATTAATTGATTACGAATACAGTGGACTTGAGTGCTACTAAAGGTATGAGGACAGTTATCACTTCCCGGTTGCTCAAATCGTGGGAAGGTTTTTCAGAGGTACCTGAAAAGGAAATCGGGTTAGAGGTGGTCTTAGTGGCCTGATAGAGTGACCGCACTACCAAAGGGACAACTGCTTGAGGACAGTCACACGCGACCTTTTTGTGTTAGCGTTGTACATGTTGAAACCTTACTGACGGAGACGGAATCCGTGGGATAAGGCGTGATGTGCATTTTTTAGGGTCGACCTTTTCTAATCCCACCCTTCCCATTGTGAGGAGGCAGCATCGTGTCATGCTGATTGTATGAGGGAAACACCTTACTGCCGTCACACCTCAGTATAGTCAGCAGTACGATTATGGCCACAGACCTTGGATTTGCTGCTTTTAGTCTTTCTGCTCTTCAATCGACCTATTTGGTATGGTAGGACCTTGAGGAATCATTGTTCCAGTCAGTATAGCTAGATTAGTTCATTACGATAGGCAAACCCGACCACCATGTCAAGGTAGCAGCAACGGTCAGGTATCTGATTGTATAATTAACTATGGACGGAATTACCTTGGCAGTATAATAGAACTTGCCAAATAACTATATTTATGTTACCCTACACCAGAATAAAAACGTTTACACATGAAAATCTGGGTGAAACAAAACTCACTATGAAACTGGGTGGGTATAACCAAATTCATGGTCTTTGTTTGGGTCATCAAATGATGATATTATCGATGTTTTTATTTTTTCCCCTGTTTCATCACTGTTTTCTGATGTTGTTGCACTTTCTGGATAAACACTTTCATTTAAACCAAATGCATTAGCACAACCCGCAGCTGATCTAGGCGATCGCACAAATTCAGCCCATGAATAACCTTCACCATGACTACTGTCAGTAGTAACTAACCACTTTGAAAACTCTTCATCTGTTAAAAACGGAAATCTAACAAAATAACGTGTTCTTGAGTGAATTTTTGTCTGATGTAAAAAGAGGGAAAAAGTTCCAAGAGAGATTACAGTGAGTTAGGAATTCAGAAAAGAAATAATAAATAATTCGAAACCAATTAATAAGAATAGAGACTATGCATGGTGAGTTAGGTTCTCTGAGCTAGACGCTTAAAATGCAAACTTTTCATTGTCATTCTGAACAACAATATCAGAGCCTACTAATGTAGACACAAGTTTCTTCAATCACTTCCTGTTTTGATAACCCGATTTGGTTATATTTACGGATTTTCGAAGTCTCGTAGTATGTTTTGTTCAACTAACCTTTGAGCACATAACTGATTTACTGATGTGTTCCGTATATATTGGTAAATTGTGTCAATAGTGACAAGCCTATTGATCGTATATTGACCTGAATCCCCTGATGATTTATTATGTGGGAAACAATCAATCAATCTAGTAGCATAACACTAAGTTTATGTCATTTTCTTATACATATATCCCGTATCATAAAGAATGTAACATTTGTTCAAAGATTAATGAATAAAAGCACCATATGACTAAATTTCAAAGGAAAAAAGAGTGTTAGGTCCTTGTTTTTAAGAACGACAAAAAGGAATATTTGAGCTTAAAAAAAACGTACTAAAATTAAATGAGCTACTTGAGAAAAAAAATACAACTAATAATAAAACATAAACAGCACATATGAGTATTTATTAGTAGTACAAATTATTAGTCGAAAAAAATTTTGAAAAGAAAAACCGTTATAAGATTGTGAAAAGATGACGATAAAATTTCTAAAAATACAAAATCTAAAAAGTGTTTCAGTAAAACAGAAAATAAACTGTGCTGAAAAGAAGGATGAAAATAGAGCTAAAATCAATAACTTTAAAAGAACACCTCATACAAGTACGCACAGAAAAAAAGTTCAATATGAACAATGGGGAACTATTTGAAAGGAGAAAAGGTTATTAGTAAAGTGAGGATGTGCTTAGCAGTGGTATCTGGGACATATGGTTTATTCAAGTGCTGAATGTTGCTGTTAAAATTTTTATTTAAAGCCATATTTAGTGATAATACCTATGGCCTTTTAAATAACTGTTGACAAAATAATCAAAACTCCCCAATAATAACTTATACTAAATAGGTAGTGAATCCCAAAGATTGCTTCGTATCTAATCCACAATTTCCATAGATTTTTAGAGATTTCAAAAAATTTGACGATTGTGGATTGGATTTAAGTTTGCCTATAGCTCTTCCAGGTTAACTGGCGGTCTCAAGTCCGGGTAAAGGAGGGCAGGACATGAAGTTAGCACCCCATCCAGTAGAAAACAACCTCGCTAAAAATACGCTAACAAGAATAAGTGAATTAAATCTGCGAGTTGAAGGAAGAATTATGACGCCTCATGGTGAAGGACGAGATTTTTAGGAATTCACGAAGCTAATGCCCCTTTTATTACCAGAGCAACAATTATGACAGGTACATGGAATGTCCGGACAATGTGGGAGGTAGGGAGGACCAGTCAAATAGTTTCGAAAATGAGGAGACACAACTTGACGGTGCTCGGGATCGGTGAAACCCATTGGACCCAAGCTGAACAGAAAAGGATGGATTTGGAAGAAATGCTGCCGTACTGTGGTCATAAAGAAGAAGGGAGTTGCTCTAATGCTGTCCAAAGAAGCACGTAATGCACTTATAAGATGGGAATCTCATGCATCCAGAACCATCAAAACATCCTTCAAAACAAATAAAGAGATCACAATGAATATTATCCAGTGTTATGCACCCACCAATGATAGTAATTAAGACCACCTTTATGAGAGGCTGAAATCGATCATAGTGAAATGCTTAGGAAAGGACTTGACAATCCTGATGGGAGACCTTAATGCCAAAGTTGGAATGCACAACACTGGATATGAAGATATCATGAGACGATATGGGCTAGAAGAAAGGAACAAGAATGATGAGAGATCCGCGAATTGATGTGCGATCAACAAAATGCTTATAGGCGTCACTATATTACCCCACAAAAGCATACACAAAGCCACATGGGTCTCATCGGATCACATTACACAGAATCATATCGATCATATTTGGATCAGTAAAAAATTCAGAAGGTCAATGGAAGACGTGAGAATAAAGGGAGGAGATGATATAGCTTCAGATCACAACCTGGTGGTTGCCAAGACGAAGCTGAAATTAGAGAAACAATGAACAAGTGGAGAAATTGCATTACAAAGGTTCAATACAGCCATTTTTCGAAATACTAACAAACTCAATGAATTCAAAATAACTGTCAACAACAGGTTCCAAGCCTTACAGGATCTACTGGAAGAAGAGGAATCCGCTATGGAGGAAAACTAGAAAGGGGTCAAAGAAGCATTAACTTTAACGTGTCAGGCGGTTCTGAGTCTCAAGAAGAATCATCCTAAGGAGTGGATCTCCATCGAAACACTAGACAAGATTCAAGAAAGGAAAAATAAAAAGACAGCAACTAACAACGGCCGAAAAAGGGGAGAGAAAGTCGAGGCACAAAGAAAAAAACTGAAGTATACAAAGAAGACAAAAGGAGCATTAGGGCCGACAAGTAGAAATACGTGGAGAGAAAAGAACCAGGTTCCTGCTGAAGGGGATACTAGGAAAAGACGTTGCAGATGGGTAGAACAAACATTTCGGAAACCATCAAAGTGCATCATGAGGCAAGCCCTAACTTGGAATCCTGAAGAGAAACGAGAAAGGGGAAGACCAAAGAACACAGTGCGCTGAGAATTAGAAGCAGACATAAAAAGAATGAAAAGCAACTGGAAAGGATTGCTTAGGACAGGGTTGGATTGAAAATGCTGGTGGGTGGCCCATGCTCCTCCAAGAGGGATAACCGGCGTAAGTAAGTCAGAAGTTTAAAACGTAAATCACTAGGTCCCGACCACAAAACTATGAAAGTAATCTAATGCCACAAGACCTGAAAGCCAAGGTTTCGACCCTTGATGGAATTATCAGTGTGTACTTTGCTAGTATTCACTAGTTCCCAAAGATCTTCGAAAATATCCACAAAGATTTTAGGACTGTTACATTTTAATTCCAGTATTTCGTTTGCATAGTCGAAAACCTTGATGTTCTGCTTGCACATGTCACTACTATTTTATCATAACAACCGCTTGTTTGAAAAGTTAAAACTAGACTTATTAAGCTACAATTTAACACAATTATTAAAAATAGTACAATTTATGTACGACAAAACGATTCAGACTAGATAAAAGAACGAGCAGTTAGTATTCATACAAACAAGACGATTTACTAGATAATAACTAAATGTAACTCAGTAACCGCATAAATCCTACCATAGAAGACTTTAAGTATAATCCAAGCTTCCACATATTAAACAGAAATGAATAGTGGCTATCAGTGGAATTCAGGACGCACACTTCGTCTTTGGTACTCCTTACCTAAATGTATCTACATTACAGTGTTGAGCTCCACACCGGAGCACAAGTGTATCCAGATGAAAAGTACCAAATAGGAAATAATATGCATCCTGGATTCCACTGCTACTCACTATCTAAATTTGCTTACAATGCTTGTGACTTAATGGTAACATCAAGGCAATCCTCACAGAATGCACATATTCCTGAAGACAAAGATCGATAACAGTACTAAAAATCAATGGGAAGGTTCAAATAACCAATAAAAATTGATCATGCATATATGTATATACATTTATATGATTAAATCTTCCAAAAACCAATTCTAGTCATTATAAATGCACAAATCTCACATATAGTAAATACCCTAGGAATAGTCACTATTGATCTCTAGTACGATGAAAATACAAAATCACTTTATTTTCTTATGTTTTCATTGTATTGTATAAGCTTAATATTGTTCCTCCAACTCTTCCTCTCTTGCTTTCTTTCCATCGTTTCTTTATTGTTACTTACTTGATCATAATTATATTACAATAATAATAACAATAACCAGAAATAACGAACAGCTGCGAAAACTGGCTCATATTCGAATTTTGTTTGTTAGCCCTACTTTTTTTCAATATTGATTGTTCACTTAATGATCAGTAGGAGGAAGAAGCATAAGAGAGGAATGGAATAGAGAAAAAGAGAGACAAATAAAAAACAACCCCTATATGGATATACTTCTCTCTTCAATGATGTAGATATCTTCTATTTGGAATCACTTTATTCTAAGCAAGAAAAATCAAAACACACAGACATACTCAACATGGAGAGAGTTGGAGAGACACAAAGAAAGAGATAGGTATATCAAAACAAATAAGGAAATATAAGCAATGATCTAAGTAATGTGATAACTAATTAAGGCAAGTGAAAAACAACAACAGGTGATTAAGCACGAATGATTCACTTAGCAGTAGAAGTTGTTCGTTATCAACGTAAAACCTGGTACCGATGTGTATTGGCCCAAATGATCATACCACATTAGAACAACGAGGTAAAAATAACAAGATGTATAATATAGGAGTTTAAATAATGTAGTAGCAATGATAATCTGAAAGATTGAATATTGAGAATATAGTTCGAGAGAACAAAGACAAAAGATATTGTATGAAGGAATACCGGAATCGAAGATCAAGAGGAATATAAAGAGTGAATGCATCTGAGCCACTGTAAACGATTTTAGACCATTTAAACTAGAGCTTAAAGCCACTGTTTATGGACCTCAACTAGGTAGTCTTTATCCATCTACATAGCTCAGTTCAACAGTTATTGACTTTATGCACCGATATCATGTCTTGATTTGACTACTACTAGCTTCCTTTCAACCTACTTCTACAATAGTAAATATCACCCGTTGTGGAAGGCAGTGGTTACGCTTAACTCTACAACCTGTTTTTTTCTTAATATCTAACAATATCAAGAAAATAGTTAAATTAAGTATAATATAAAGTGAATACCTACTACCGATTGACAGATTGATTGAGGTCAATATACGATAAGTTGTTTTAATAAGATTATTTTTGAGCCAAACAAAACAAACACTGTAAGTATCAAGGTAAATCATTAAG